GGAACCCAGCCGGGACAAGGGGGACGGGACGGGACAGGGCAGGACGGGATGGGACAGAGCGGACAAGGCAGGACAGGAGAGGACGGGACAGGACAGGACAGGACAGGACAGGACAGGACGCAGCGAGGGGAGGTGGCAGCCCGCAGCCGTGCTGGCCGGGTGGGTGGGTGCGGTCCGTCCGGCTCCCTCCCTCCTCCCATCCGTGCTCTGACTCCAGGGAGCCACTGGAGCAGAAGCTTGGTTTGGGGGTGGTTTCGTGTCTATCCAAGTAACAAGGCCCAGGTTGTTACTAGAGCGCCTGTCGCCGGCAATGGTAGTTAAAACTGTGGGTTGCGGCTAAAGATACATAGCTATCCCCGTCCATGTCGAGCTGAATAGCCAAAGCAAAATGTCACTGGAGGTATGGGTGTAAGCTCTGCTGCAACAACCCCACCCTTTTTTTGTGGAGTTTGTATCTCAAGTGGGGTAGGTGGGTCATTTGAGCTGTTTTTACTGTTAAAAGTTTTGCCAGTGGACAAAAAATTACTATAAAGAGAAATGGGTTGTATTCATGCTTGTGGCCTTCTATGTATATGTACTTTATGTGGGTGAGTGCAAAGCTCAAGTTGATTTTTAACAATAACTATGGCCTAAATTAATAAGGCAGCCCAGATGTTACACCCATTATTTGTGTAATGCACACCAACTAACTGCAGCTCAAAGTTAACCTGTAGTGGAGCAGATCGTGGCAGGCTGGACTCTGTGCTTGGCATAGTTTTCACTCCCTTAATTCACACACGATGTTTAAAGTGAAGAAATTCAAGAAATAAAGTTACTAAAATATACTGGTTTTGGGTTTATTTACTCCTGAACATAACATTTTTACATCTGCAAGTTTAATATGAAGATCTCTTTCTGTCCCTAAAAGGAATATATACATATATATGCACTCTTACTTACTATTGCAGTACAGTTTTAGAGCAATACTGGATATTACAGTTACTCTTTGCAGCTTGGTCTTCCTTTTATTAAAGGTTTATAAAGGTTTTTTAAACCCTTTTTTAATTAAATATTTATAGAACCTTTATATTGCATCTACATAGGATGATCCCCTTATACTTTACAAGGATTGAGGAAAAAGTCCTGGATAGCCTTATATGGCCATTTTTACTCTGATCTATGTCTTGTAATTACAGCATATGCTCCAGGTCACAGCACTGTGTGCAAAGATAGAAGTTTACTGTTTGCAAGCTCAGCTTTCCATAGAAGTGGCCAAATGCTCTTCCCAGTGCCCCTCTTGCAGTTTTAGGGAGATTTTTAAGAGTCTTTCCCCCTTTGCTCTTAACATTGCAGACAAATTTACTGCTGATATTGGTGTTTATTTTTCTAAGTAAACAGAGCATAATGTTGGGAGTTTCTTGCTTAGTTGGAAATCCATCCTTCTTAGTTACTTTTTTTGTTGGTAGAGTCCTCATGATTTCTCTCTCTGTCTGTCTCTTCTCCCCTTTCTATCCCCCAATTGCATTCAGTACAATTCCAGTATAGGAGTTCTTCAAAACTGTTTCCTTCCCTTCAGAAGAGATTTGAATGCAACTCATCCAGCCTTGCTGTTGCACAAGACTGTGAGTTATCTGTGTATTTAAGTGGTTCTTGCATTTGGTTTTTTAGAAAGAAATAATTAAAAAAATAAATAAAAGTTTTGTTGGGAGGTGGGACAAATGCATAGTTTGTTAACATTTTAATTACAAGAAGATAATCAAGTTAATTGTTACTGATAAATGTGTATTTAAAAGCAAGTCTAGAAGAAAAAAATAATTGATTTTTAATTCCTATAAGCAATATTATTTGCATACAGTATTATATGTGTTAGGTTTGGATGTCTTTTTTTGCCTTGAGGACATGAACTTTTTGAATTTGGATTTATCAGTGGAAACAAGTTGGAACTATGCAGGAGAGGAGAATGAGTCTTACTCTGAAAAATACCTCCTTAGTACTGATGAGGTTATAGCTGGATTTAGGTTTGAAGTCTTGTTCTAAATTTTGTATCCTTGAGGGTTTTTTCTTAGATATTTGCTGAGGGACTAGTTACTGTTTGTTTTTTTGTTTTTTTGTTTTCTTTCTGAAGCAGTTAAGTGGATTTTCAAATTGTCTTGGAAAAAAACCCACAATAACTCATCAGAAGATGTTTCACATTTTTCAGTATCAGCCTTTAAGACTAATAACCCAAAACAGTCTTTCTAGCATGTGCTTAAAGCTGATGCTTTCAAGACCTGTTGCATTTGCACAGATATGGAAGTCATGGTTCTCAAGTCATTCTCTTCTTGGAAAGAAAAATATTATCCTGATGGGACCTCCAGGTGCTGGGAAAACAACAATTGGGAGAATAGTAGGCCAGAAACTGGATTGCCCTGTCATAGACATAGATGACGATGTCCTTGAAACAACCTGGAATATGAGTGTGTCAGAAAAACTGCAGGACATTGGTTGTGAGAAGTTTCTAGAGGAGGAAGGAAAAGCACTGTTGAAGTTCTCAGCATCTGGAAGTGTAATTTCCCTTAGTGGGTCCAATCCAATGCATGCTGCTGGCATGCAGCACATAAAGAAAAATGGAATAGTTGTATATCTGGATGTGCCCACAACAGTCATTATGAGCAGGCTGAAATCAAAGGGAATGGATCGTGTTGTGGGCCTGTCTCCTGGTGTTTCTCTCAAAGACATACTTCAGTTTAGGAAGCAGTTCTACAAAAGGTGGTTTGACATCCGTGTTCTTTGTGGAGGGGATGTTGCAGCAGAGATGGTAGCAGAAAAGGTACTTGATGCTGTGAAGAGATACCAAGACTCAGAACTGGAAACTTTCATTTCAACAAGGTCTAGTAGGTCTGGAAGGAGTACGGAAGAAGACTCTCATAAATTATATTTCAGTGATGTTGTTACTCAGGGCTTAGCCCTTGATGGAGGACTCTTTGTTCCTGAGAGTGGACTTCCAAAATTCACCGCTGAAGAATGGCAAGGTCTGATAGAAGCAACTTACGTTGAAAGAGCCCAGGTGATACTAGAAAGATGCATACATCCTGCTGATATTCCTGCTTCTAAGCTGGCAGAAATTATTGAAACTGCTTATGGAGAGAACTTTAGTTGTTCTAAAGTTGCCCCAGTTAGGCATCTGGCAGGCAATCAGTTCCTTCTTGAGTTATTTCATGGACCAACAGCATCATTTAAAGATTTTGCATTACAGTTGATGCCACACTTATTTGCCTACTGCATACCCAGAAGCTGCAATTACTTGATCCTGGTAGCTACTTCTGGGGACACAGGGAGTGCTGTTCTAGATGGCTTTAGTCGTCTCCATGACACTGACAAACAGAGAATTGCTCTGGTGAATTTTTTTCCTGAGGATGGAGTAAGCCCAATTCAAAAATCACAAATGATTGGCTGTCAGAAGGAAAATGCTTGGTCAGTGGGTGTCAAATCTGATTTTGATTTTTGCCAGACAGCTATAAAGCAAATCTTTACTAATTCTGATTTTACTGGCTTTCTTACAGTAGAATATGGAACAGCTTTAGCTGCAGCAAACTCCATAAACTGGGCACGACTGCTTCCTCAGATAGTTTATCATGCCTCTGCATACCTTGATCTCGTTCATCAAGGTATTATTTCTTTTGGAAGCCCTGTAGATATTTGCATTCCTACAGGAAACTTTGGCAACATGTTAGCTGCTTTCTATGCTAAAATGATGGGAATTCCTATTAGAAAATGTATTTGTGCTTCCAATGAAAACAATGTTTTGACTGACTTCATAAGAACAGGTGATTATGATTTGAGGGGAAGAAAATTAATTTCCAGTTTTTCACCAGCAGTAGATATTTTGAAGTCGTCCAATCTTGAGCGATACTTACACCTGATTGCCAATGGAGATGGACAACTGGTGACACAATTATTTAACCACCTGGAAAATCAGGGCCACTTCCAGCTGCGGAAAGATCTACTTGGAAAGCTTCAGCAGGACTTAGTGGCTGGCTGGTGCTCTGATGAGGACTGTCTGGCTGCCATTCACTCTGTGTACAGTACTACAGGATATATTTTGGATACACACACAGCTGTTGCTAAAGTAGTTGCAGATCGATTACAAGATAGAACTTGCCCAATTATTATTTCATCTACAGCTCATTATTCTAAGTTTGCACCTGCTATCTTGAGGGCCTTGAGGATTGCAGAAATAAATCAGAATCCATTAAGTCAGCTTCACTTGCTGAGTTCTTACAGCGCTTTGCCTCCAATTCACTGGGGCCTATTAGAGACCCTGAAAAAGACAGGAAATGGGGATCACCAGGTCTGTGCTGCTGATATGAGTGTGCTGATGTCCCATATAGAAACCTTAATTCAAAATCATTTTATGAAAGTTTTTTGAGCAACTGATCCAATGTCCACAATTGCAATGCCTTCTTAACAAGCTGCATGCTTTACTAAAGCCATCATTCATCTGGCCTGTGTCCAGTCCACAGCATATCTCACAGTTTTATATTCAGTTGTCAAGCTTTCAACAGTATTTGTAAGTAACATGTGTGAGATTTCTAGTGGTGGTGAAAGGTTGTGAATTAAGAGTGTAAAAAACTGGAATACCATTTTGCAAGTCATACACAGTGGAGATGCCAGCACTGCTGGCTTTCCTTGGCAGTGCTGTCTCCTTCACAAACCTGAAGCATCCTCGACGGGAGGAGGCAGATAATGAAGTCTGACCTTTCTGGAACTAATAGCTCTGGTTTTGTTGCAACAATGATGTGAACCTTTGGTCAGTATATGTTTAATTAAACTTTAAATCATTTCACTTAGGGCACTGAAACATAATAAGTTAATATAATGGTGTTCATATGTTACTAATAAGGGTTGATTTCACTACAAAGATTAAAGTATCATTGTATTGTTAATTCTTGAACCATTCATTTTTGTGATATATTACCTTCTTGTGTAATGTTTTTTATCTATTGTGTGTTCAGTGTCTAAGTAAAAAAATCTGGTCATTTTGTTTTTAACACCTTTTTCTCCCAAGTATTTTCCTGTGTCAAACAGAATACCTAATTCAATATTTTTAATATATTTGAGGTGTGACTCTTCTTGCAGTGTCTTCTAGTCTCTTTCTCAGATGTTTTTTATTTCAACTTTCAACTTTGAAATCCTTTTTTAATACTATAGAAGAATCTGATAGTGGTAACATCTTCTTAAATAAGAACCAGACTTCACAATTTGTTTACATATATTTTTTGTATTTTATCTTTGAGATCATATAGCTTTTCTTGTTCTAATTACTTATGTTTTCATATTTTTCTTAAGTTAATTTCCATGATGTTCTATTCTATTCATGCTTTGCATGAATTAGTATAAAAAGAAGCTTCCCAAATTGCTTGGCATCTCATCAAGGAAAGTGAAGGATGAATTCCAGAGTGATAGCATCAGAAGTGTTCATTATGTAATCCAAAATACATCTGTGTGGTTTTGCTAATGACAGGCTCTTTGCTGTTTTTTTCTCTGAAGAAAAAAATAGACTGGATTGTCCTAGGAGATCATGTGGTTATGGAGAAATTGTTCTGCTAATTGATGATTATATTTCACAAGGACATAAGCTACATTTCATGCTATGAGAAATGGTAAAATGATGTATTGAAAGCTTTGAGTGGCATGCAGTTAAAGAGCTAGGAGTCTTCAGATGTAAGGACATATAGCTATGGGAAGTTGTGTTTCCCACTAAGATTCACATAATCTGGTAATTGATAACAGTTTTTTTTGCCTCTTCAATAGGCATCTTTTCCTACATGTCAAGATTCACCTGGGGCTTTGAACTGCTGCCATATCCTTCAGCTTCCTCTGTGTGCCTGCTTGTACTTTTTGTCACACTAGAAGGGAACCATCTCACAAATTATTTTAAAGAATTGTCATTTTTTCCAGCATAAGGTAAAAGTCCCAAGCATGATGTGCGTTTGCCACAGTGAACACATACGCAGTATCATTAAATGTAGCTGAGAACGTGGGTGTGACACAGTAGCTTTCTAGATTCCCCCATTCCCAGATACTTTTTTGGACCTTTCTAGTTCTTTGCTCAAACCTCATTCACTGTTTCTGCAGTAAAATTGAAAAATAACTTTTTGTTTTCATGAAATTGTGAACAGACCAGGTTGGAAGTGACCTGAAAACTTTTGTGACAAAGGGAGCCTAGATGAGATTATCTAGCACCCTCTCCAGTTATGTCTTAAAAACTTCCCAGTGATGGAGACCCTTTTGCTTCCCTGGGGATATTGTTCCAGCGATTGAGCGTTCTCACTGTAAAAATTTCTTTCTTATACCAAAATGAACCTTCTCCTGGTACAATTTCCCCCTTGTCATCTCCATATGGCTCCTTGTGAAGAGGGAGCCTCCAATCTCTTCCTAACCACCACTGAAGTGTTGGACAGCTGTGCTGAAGTGCCCACTGAACCTCCTCTAGTATGAAAAGATCTAACTCATTCAGTGTCCTTGTAGGGCAGGGGAATTTTCATCATTTTCCAAACACGACATGGAAAAGACTGTGATTATGTAATTTTAAAAACATCCAAGTCCTGTAAGAAAAGATTACATAAGCATATTGCTAAGGAAGCAGCGTTGCTTGTATTAGTGATAAGTGAGCATCCACCTTGTATTTCTGTGTGCTTCAGTCTGATTCTTACCGTAATTCCAAGGGGGGAAAAAAGCTAATGCTTTCTCTGGCTGTGCTTAGTATAAAACCAGAATTCTAAATCTTGGGAAAAAAAACCCAAAACCAAGCAAACCCAACTGTCTGGATTGACTTACTGGGATAGGGTATGGTTTCAGCATAAGGACTCAGTGGAAATCCTGCAGCACTTGGTTCCATGGGGTTTAATGCCATTTAACATCACAAGGCAGTTTGTCACACACTGTTACAATACTTTATAGAAAAAGCTTGTTTTTGAAGAAAGTACCTGAAAGGGAAGAGCTGAGACTCTAAACAAGATTAGACTAGAAGCCAACATCTTACCCTGAGATAACTCAGTGTTAGATAAACTGGTCAGAGCTAAACTAGCAGGGGATTTATTTTGGCACAATTGAATTATTTTAAAGTTCATGACAGTAACCCATGCATGGTTTAGATTTCTAGTTGCTGCTTTCCTATTACATGAGCCATTATAGCAGTTGATATAAACCAAATAAGTAAAAAAATGAGCATTTGTACTTGGGTAAAGGCTTTCAACATGGATTTATGGTGTCTAAGGGCAGTGGTTAATGAGCACATACAATATCAATACATTTCTCAGAATGTCTAAAGGCTTTTCAATATAGTATTTACTAGTTTTCAAAACGAATTAATTTTTGAACTTTCATTAGCTTCAGTAAACTTATTTTCCTGCACTACATCTGCTTGTGGATCCTACTAATGAACACTATAAAATGCTGCAGTAGTGTTGTGATCCTGGATGTACACAGTATTTGTGACCACATGAAAAAAAATTTCCAGCATGCTCAGAATATGGGACTGTGGGTAAACAGGATAGTGAGGGAAGCAATCCCCCTTTCTTCCCAGTCCAGATTTTCTTAGTGTCAGCGATGTACTGTGGTTCAACAAATACTTCACTACTGTTAGGGTCCTTTTTTTCCCCACTATCAGTATTATGAAAGATTAAGAAGGCATTAAAGACTGGGCATAAGTGCCTTTTTTTTTGGTCTTGTGTGTTCAGCATGCAGACACTGTGCACACTGAATGTAAATACATTATTTTCTATTCACTTCTTAAGGCAAAGTGGTGTGCCAATGGTACAGAAAAACCTATATTGTGCTGCTTAGGAGGATGCTTTAAGCCATTTAGGTTTGCTGCATACACAGTTTACTCTTATTTGTCTAGCAGTATGTTGCAGTATCAATCAAGAAAATCCAAGTTGACAGAGTGTGAGTGTGCAGATCTACACACTTCCACTCACTTTGTTGACCCATAGTAATAGTGTTGCTTTAGTTAAGCTGTTATTCTTCTGTATAGATAAACCTTCGCTGAACACTTCCTACTACGTGAAAAACCTCAGGGACAACTTTAACAAATGTAAGGAGAAATACAACATCTATATTTACACTTTTTATTATAAGAATATTTATATGGAAAATCGTTTGTTTTGCTTACAGATATACCAGGTGCTCATTACTTGCCTTTAGTCACAGCCCTTCTTCTCAGGGTGACAGAGGTCAAGGATGAATAGAACATCAGAAGATAATTCTGTTTTCTTAGGATTTTATGATATAAAAAGAATTGCTATTTACAGTTTTGAAGTGATGGAATATTTTATCTGATGGAACTCTACAGGGAAGATTCTTGTTGTTCAAAAGGCCAGCTTTGATTTCAAGGACATCAAGAACAGACATTGCTATTAAGTATATCATGGTTGGCATATCTGAAATACACATTATTCATTTGTATCCACTGTATTTTTTTCTAAATAAACATTGCAGGATATATATAGCACTATAGCACTCTCTTTGCAAATATGTTTGTAAATCCTTACCAATCTTCTATAAAGAAAATACACTAAAAGAAGTGGTTTCCGAGTTTGATATTCTTAAGTCTTGAAAGACGTGTTCCATTCTGTGTTTCTTTGAAAGTTAGGGGTATAGTTGGTGATAATCTAATAATTCACTTTGCTGAGACTATGATTTTAGTGAGATAGTCTGCATCATTCTGAAAGGAAGTATGTATATAAAAAAGGAAACAGATGAAAAATAGCAAATGTCTAAACACTCTGTTTACATTGTACCACAGACTTGTCCAGTGCTGCATGGAAAGCCTGTATTGTGAGGATTAGTATGGAAAAGGAAATGTGTGACAGTTTAACATTTCTTATTCATGCTTAGTTCAGTGGAGAGATGGGCTAGTTGTCTGTTAGCTGTTGTGGAGCAACTTTTGTACACTTTTAATATAATCTCAGGATCATGGGCTTAAAAATTACTTGAATGGTTGAAACAGCAATGAGCAGTTAATGTCAGTGAATTAATGTGAATAGGCCATTGATTCTGAACACGTATTAGCAGCTTAAGGAGGATTTAAATGTCACTGTGTTTTTTCACAGCAGTTACAAATGTGCTTAGCTTGCTTATCTGACCTGGGAAGCTGTTGCTTCAGATTTTTCAGATTGTAGCAATCTAAAAGACAGCTGTCTTGGTCTTGCTCTCCAACTTGGCTAAAACTTTCGAAGATCTCTTAGTATGGACCAAGATCTAAGCTGTTTGTTCATTTTACTTGAGAAGATTTTATTTGCTGTCTGGTCTCCTTCTTGACACTATTGGAAAATTATTCAGTAGAATTAAGATAACACCTGATTTACTTGTTTGTGTATGATAATATAAAATTTAACCAAGGGGAGCATCCACAGTGTTTTCCATGCACAACAGAGGAACACATTTTTCATAAAAAGTGTATATCAACTTCCACAAAATCAGTTGCATAGCACAGGAATTGTTACTCTAGCATTTTAATTAGGTATTTTGTCACTGGTATTTGGAATAGACTTAGATTTTCAAATAGTTTCTTTCATTTTAAAGAATTATTGTTATAGAAACATGGACAGCATCACCCCCAGATTTAAAATTCATCATGACAATAATTGTGTCAAACCTGAAAGAACTAAAAATGTAAATTGGGAGGACTGAACAGATTTTTTTCTGTGGGTTCACACAGGATTTTAATAAACCATGAGTTTATTAAGAACATAGGAGGAAATAAAGTAATGACTGTTCAAATCTACAGATGCCACAAAACTTAAATACTAATGAGCCACTTAATCAGAGCAAGATTAATTGCTTGGTTAGGAGCTGTAAGCAATTTGCATTTCACACTGGCCTAGTGTAGTAGACCTGTGTTTTCAGGAGCATAGAGGTTTGAGAACACACTTAGCAAGGTAAACAATTTGTGGTAGGAAATGCTGACTTTGAATGGTGACTGGAGATGATGTGCATTCTCAACTGAGCATGAATTTTCAGCTTACCTTGTGGCCAAAAGGACCAGTGAGATCCAGAGGTTAGAAATGGGAATACTGCCAGGGAAGAAATACTGCTCTCTGTATTTGGCTTTGGCATAACCTTTTGGAAGAATATTATGCCAAATTTCAGCAGTCACAATTTTCAGTAATGCTGGGAAGCTGGACAGAAAAGAGTCATGAGAGCAATAAAAGCATTAAAAAGAAGTACTGGCATGAGAGTCTCAAAAAACAGAATCTGCTTAGTTTAGTGAAAGAAAAATCAACCTAGACAAACCATCTTCAGAGAAAAACTGATAATAAAGAACTGTTCCACCTAGCAGGAAAGGAGTGATCCAGCAAGTCCAAGCAGAAGTCAGACATGTTACAAAAAGCAATAAAGATATGTAACAGAACAGTAAAAGCATCCCTAGTCTGGACATATTAGATGATTTCCTGAAAAAATGTGATAGAAAGACTAATTCAGACAAGTCAGACCCATGTTACACAAGAGGTCAAACTAAACAATCACAAGTAATGTTTGGCTGCCCCAGGAGTAACTTGCCTTTAATAAAAGCATGAACAGCATTTCACAGAGGTTTGAGAGATAGAGTTTATGAACTAATTTCAGTTCTGCTGTGGTGTGATCAGTACACAGAGCAAGTTCTGCACTAAATAGGCTACTGGATATGTTTAGTCTTGTTCTTTCTGTCTCTAGAGAATTGCAAATGGACTACTAATGCATACCCTGACTTGACTCATGGCTATTAGGATATGGCTCATTAGTTTTAAATTTCATTATACAATACGCCTTGTGATGGTTTGGGCTATATATACTTTCATTATGAAAATTAGGTGAACAGCACAGGAGGAAAGTGTCTGTGTAAATGTCAGCTTTATTGAATGTGGCTAATTATTATTTATTTTTCCAAGCTTTTAAAAGTGAGAAATCTTTTAAAATTTATTAGATGCTTTTGCACCCTTTTTTTCTCTGCTGTTACAAGCAACTTGCAATCCAATGGCCATTTTCAGTTCATTTTCAGCTCATAATAAGACTTATATGACAAATGGAAAAGCCAATGTCTCCTTTTTATAGTTAAACTTCAACTTTTATATACCAATTAAAGCTTAGAGAAGGTAAAATGTACTCATAGGTTCTGCTCTAGCAACTTATTTTGATTAAAATGTATTTTTCTTTATATTTTAAACTAATTCACAAAATTATATCTAAATTGAGTAGGCATTTTTTCTAAGTATCTGTGGCAATCTGATTCTGTTTAAAATGCTAATGAATGCCATCTCCTAAAGAAACCAGTCCTCCCTGCATAATTAATTAGCATTTTATACAGATGAGGATGGGAAAGCCATATTCACAGTAGTTTTCTACCACAAAGGTTAATAAAAGAATTCTATGCAGTTCTGAAATAGCATAAGAACGGTTCATTTCCACAAAACTGGTATTTTGCAATTAAAAAATTTAGTGAAATTTACCTGGAATCGTTGTTCCATACAGCTTTTATCCACAAGGTGGCATTCCTAACAGGAGTTTGCTAGACATGGTCACTTCTTGCAGTTTTTGAATGGCTCTAAGTGAGAGGGAGTATAAGCATTTGTAATATTATATGAGCTTTTTATGTTTTCATTTTTATAAAGTGTAATTGAAAGTAATTTAAGTCAGAAACCTTAATGATGATTAGGTTAATACTCACTGATGTGTGGAGTATCGAGAAATACGTGATGGTTCTAGGTTACAAAACAATATTCATTCATGGCATTATATGCTGCTAGAGACTTTTCAGTTGTAAAGCTGGAATCAGTTTTGCTTTAATGAAAGAGTCTAAAATAATAATTTAAAAATTCTTTAAATCAAGAGCACAAAAAATACCATGGTCTTCTATGCAAACCCCAGTGTTTGGCGTTTCGAACATGATGTGGCATATGGAGTTTGTAGTGAGTTCTGGATTAAGGAAGGGCAAATAACAGTGTTCATGGGGAAAAGCTGTATAAATTATGTCTTGCTCTGCAGGGGAGGATTTTTCATAGTCTAATGTTACAATGACCAAGCAACTTATTTTCATATGCCTGTCATCCAGGTTGATAACTGAGTCTGCAGGCAACTCTGCTTTTTTTCAGGCTTTATAACTTTTTCATTTTCTTGTAGTCTTTGTATGCTAAATTCAAATACCTTGTTACTCTTTTTCTTTAAATACAAGCATGAAGGGAGTATAATACAACCTGCTAAACCAGTACAAGTACACTAGATTTTACATAACAGGGATGTGCATATTATACTTTTCTCCCCCATGGTTACGGTCCTGATCTTACTTTGCTTTTTTTTCTGATTCTGTAAGATCAGACCTTAGCTAAATAATCATTTATATTTCCATTCTAGCTGGTATCCTACTTGTATTTTGATTTTCAAAAAAAAAAAAAAGATATAAAGTTTGTGCTGAAACTGTAATCCAATGTAAATTATGGAATTTTTTTCAAGTCTGCTTTGAGTCAACAGAAAGGAATATGAGATTTTTGGTTTTTGATTTGTTGTTTTGTGGTAGGAAAACTTCTGTGGGGTGTTTTCCTGACACTAATGACACTCTTTGCTGAGTTAGTGGGCACTGTTTTGACATTAAGCAGATGTTCTTTTCCCTAACATTCTGTTGTACCTCCATCATCTCTCAAAGATGGCTCTGCAAAACAGAATACAAATTACTGTTCACTGAAAGCAATTGTCAGTCAGAAAAACTCACTTTCAGAATGATCAAGTTGTGGTAGAACCTACCTGCTGCTTGAATCTAGCACAAGGACTTTGGAGGCAAACCTGCCTAGTAGTAGTAGTATCTCATGCTGACTACCAGTAAAATTTGAGGGCCTGAACATCTCCTACATGCCACAAATGTTAAAGAAATGTGGTGAAAATTGCTATTTCCAAGATGTGGAAATGGCTGGACAAAGAAAGTTATATATAGTAATTATGAAGTGTTAATGTGGAAGTAAATGATTTGTTGTTGTTGCCTTTCAAGTTAAGCTACACACTGAATTTTCTTTATAGTTAGACATAGCACTAGGTGAGTAAATGAGGGCAACATTCCTCTGAGAAGAGCAAGAAATCTGTCCCACAGAGAATGTTTCAAAACAGAAAAAACAAATGTACAAAAAAAAATCAAATGGAAAGAAACATTCTGTGCTCTGATGGCGGCCATGTGGAAAGGGCTTATTGTGAAGGATGATCTGTAGATAGAACTGTACACAGCTATACAAAGGAAAAGGGTAGTCAAAGTAATGACCGGGTTCAGGGCCCCAAAAGTGCTGTAATGTGTAATGTGATGGACATCACCAGGAGAAATCAGTAGTCTGGAGCATTGCTGATGTTGCTTCTAGGACATCTCATGATGTTGAATTAGATGGATATGTACTCCAACTCCCAGAAACAGGGGAAAGAAATTTTGCTGAATTGTCCTTTTGTCAAAGGGTGTCTCAGTTATATAAGTTCACATAACCCAGCACTTGCAGGTAATGCTGTCAGAAAAAAAAAACAACTGTACTGACTGCAGACAAATAATAGTCCTCATACTTCATGATGGATCTGCAAATTGCTTTTCTAGTACAAAGCACGTCAGGGGCTAATTTGATGCAGTTTATTGTTTGCTAGAGGTGGATTATAAATGTTTGGAATTGCATCTTATGTAACTGCTGCTGGATAAGCATACGTATGAGTAAGTGTGAACTGGGAAAGGAAAATGTGATACTGGGAACTGTAACCACAAGTATTATCACTTCCCATATGTAACAAATTTATGCCTAGGGCAAGGAAGCACAATTACTGACAGAAGCTGTGTTTGCTTATGCAGGTGATTTTATTGTTCTAAGTGATTTATCACTCTGGGTAACATTTTTTGATGAAAGACTTTTCTGGAATGATTGTACTTCAAAAGAAATTTGGAGTTGTTTACCTTCAATAGATGACCAGGTCTACCTATTGAAAATGTTAGATTTATAAAGTACTTTCATGTGGGTTTTAAATTGGTGGAAGACAAAGGGTCAAGGTTTGCTTCCCCAAGTCAGTCACATTATCTGTTTCAGTCTCTCACTTCCTCAGTCTCAGAAATCTACAACTACACATTTGAGAAACTTATCAGATACTTAACTATTTAATGTACTTCCAAATTGTATTGTTTTACTTTATCTGTTATCAAAAGCATATGCTGTATGTCTCTGAATTTATATTGGGTGCTAATGATACACTGATGATTACTGAAAACAGAAAAACTGTCCTCACTTCCTTTACAAAAGACAAAAAGATGTTACATTTTCAAACTGTTAAATCTACCTTTTAAGTCCTGATTCCAGGAAGTGTGCAGTACCTGAATTGCCAACATCTTCATTGTGATCCTGGGTCACTGATGGTAAAGTTCTTACTTTTTATGCATTTATATTAGTGTGAAAAGAGATAGTTATAAGTCCAGGTCTCTTCCTTCTCAGAAGAATCTGAGTGTAAAACAGAGTTATCCACTGTGTTACTTTGGCCTGACACTAGAATTACTTTTATTAAAGACAAATCAAACCTACCAGTCAACCATACCCAGTCAACCCCTGTTCAAAATGCAGCGATGAAGCTGAGCCAGAAGACACTAAGTGCAAAGCAAGCTTTTCAGCACTGTATAGGGCCAGTATAAAAGCTAGTTAAAAACTACTTCACAAACTAAGATCTCCCAGTATCAAACAAATTGCTACTCACTTCTACAAGACACAGCTGACAGCTGATGGAAGAAATATAAATCACGTTTTTTAAAAAATCCGTCCAAAATACAATTTGCCTTCTGTGAGCACTTAGCTTATTGTGCAAAGCCTCAGGGTGAAGTGTGGATCTCCCACCTCCCATGGTGGTGGCTCTTTGGTCAGTTCAGGGACAGCAGAAGCATCATCTTCCTTTGTGAGGTTTTTTCCCTTGTATTAATTGCATGATCTGCTTCATAAATCAGCTTACATTTAAATGGAACAGCTTAAAAGTAATTGTGCAGCTGAGCAACCAATGAATTATTGTGCCTTATGGCTACTGTGGCTGTGTGGGTAAGGACCAAAAAGACAAAAATTGGTCTCTTTAACCTCCAGTGTCCCTTAACTCTCCTCCAATGAGTTTCCTGTCACTTTAATTTAAGAAGTATTTTGATCACCTTATGAAAGCAATTCTGTGATGCATTTGTCTCCAGTTCCCCAGAAACAATTGCCCAGTCCTGTGTTCCTAAATTTCCTTCTGTATGTTGCCTTTCCTTTTTCCATTTTTTGATAGCTGTATTAGATGTTGTTAGGGATGGTGCTGTGCATAGATCTGGTTTAAGAGGATAGATGAAATAAGCAACATTTGGAGTGCCATTGAGACCACCTTGGTAATTTCTTTTTGTTTGCAAAGCAGATGTCTCTTTTGTGCACTCAAATTCTTCACTGTCACCCATTATCATAGTCATTTTAGCATAACTATTTTTTAATTCTCCAAGCCTTTTCATAGGACATTTTAAAATTTGTCTTTGTAAGATAAATTTTGCTTTACATTACAACTCAAAATACCAGAATCTTAAAAAATAATCTTGTAATAAGCATTTTTGCTTA